ATTTACGAGCGCGTTCTGGCCTTTCCGGATCCCACGTGAATGAAGTGGTTCTATCCCGTCCCTGCAGATTGAGCACCTGTAATCTGAACCTCCCGCTACATGGAGCAGGACCGAGCACTCGCCTACTCGGACGCCCTCACACTGACAGATCGAGCCCGTCCCTCCTCTCCTTTGGGCCTGCTCGTCCCTCCCCTCCCCGCTCCATGCCTCCTTCTTGCTCTTCCCTCCCCTCCCCCATGCCCCTCTCCTACTCCTCCCCCTCTTCCCTCCCTCCCCCATGCCTCTCTCCTACTCCTCCCCCTCTTCCCTCCCTCCCCCATGCCCCTCTCTCCCTCCCCTCCCCCATGCCCCTCTCCTACTCCTCCCCCATGCCTCTCTCCTACTCCTCCCCCTCTCCCCTCCCTCCCCCATGCCTATCTCCTACTCCTCCCCCTCTTCCCTCCCTCCCCCATGCCCCTCTCCTACTCCTCCCCCTCTTCCCTCCCTCCCCCATGCCCCTCTCCTACCCCTCCCCCTCTTCCCTCCCTCCCCCATGCCCCTCTCCTACCCCTCCCCCTCTTCCCTCCCACCCGAGGCCTGCCTCCTACTCCTCCCCTCCCCCTCCCCTGCCCGCTCCCTCCGACGACTAGCCACGTACCTAGAAAACCCGTCGGGGCGCAGAGCGAAGGCCGACCCGAGCGCGCGTGCCTGCGTAACTGAGCCACCACAGTGGGGCCTCTACCTCAGCCCGCCGCGGTCTATGGGCGTGCACCTGGGAGGGACGGGGTGGGGAGAGGGTGGCCCCCGTTGTCTGCTCTCGCTGCACGTGTGCGCTTCGACAAGTGCACACGTGTGTGTTTGCGTGTAGGAAGATGTGTGTGTGTGCATAATATATATATATATATATATATATATATATATTATATATATATATATATATATATATATGTATATATATATATACATATATATATATATATATACATATATATACATATATATAATATATATATATATATATATATATATATATATATATATATATATATATACATGTATATATATATATATATATATATATATATATATATATATATATATATATATATACATATATATACATATATATATATATATATATATATATATATATATATATAATATATATATATATATATATTATCATGTATATATATATATATATATATATATATATATATATATATATATATATATATATATATACATATATATATATATAATATATATATATATATATATATATATATATATATATATATATATATATACATGTATATAATATATATATATATATATATATATATATATATATATATATATATATATATATATATATATATATACATGTATATATATATATATATATATTATATATATATATATATATATATATATATATATATATATACTATATATATCATATATATATATATATATATATATATATATATATATATATATATATATACATGTATCTAGATCATATATAGAGTAGATATCTAGATATCTCAATATATATACATGTATATCTATTACTATAACGATTATACTATATAATAGTATATATCTATATATATTAGGAAATTCTAAATATAATCTATATCTAACATGTATATCCTCTATATATCTATATATATATAGCATATCTAAGATATATAGTATATAGATAAAGATCTACTCTGATTATATATATACTAATATATCTATATCTACCTCCATAATATATATATACATGAGATAACGATATAGAGGAGATATATATAGAGAGATAGAGAGATTATATTCGTAGATATATAGATGATTTACAGGGATATATATAGAGATATATATAGATAGGATAGATGAGAAGAGATAATCTATAAATATAGTATATAGCATATACATGGCCGAGATATAATCATTATATATATATATATATAATTATATATCTATATCATATATACATTAATATAGCTTATATAAATATCTATCTCTATATATATCCTATCTATATCATATATATATTCTCACGTCCATCTATAGAATCCTGATATATCTAGCTCTATATAAAATAGGTAATATATGATGAATATATATATATATATATATATATATCTATATATATATATATACATGTATAATATATATATTAGATAATATATACATACAATACGATATTATATCATCTATATATAGAGATCTATAATGTATCTATATATATATATATATATCATATACATGGATATATATATATATCGAGATATATATATATATAGATTATATGATATGAGGAATATATAATGGTATATATATAGAATACATAGAGAGGATAGAGATACAGGTTAGATAAGATTATATACGACGAGAGAGAAGCAATGAGACATAGAGAGATAGATATAAGAGAGATATATACAGGTAGATATCTATATATATAGATAGAGATAACTATAGAGAGAATATATCCATATATAGTACCATATACTCGATACAATACAGTATGAACACAGAGACATAGACTAGCAGATACAAGTATACCATATACAGATATACAAAGTATACAGTATGACAGATATAAAGCTTAATATGAATAAGGTAGACACATGACAGATACATAGATACATAATATACATGACACATGGAACAAGAACATAGAATACACAACATTATACTATATACCATTACACACACTTATACATATCAGCTAAACCAGCATAGAACTAGACTATATACACACATATACATATACATATACACACATATACATATACATATACATATATATATATATACATATATATATAACGCCGTGGTTATTGTTCCGGCACCGGATCTCATTACATTTTGGCTATTCGTGCGTGCCGCGCACCAACTCTTTGCGCACGAACATACTTTCACGCTTGCGCACATGCAATAACTGGGTCTTCAACATTTCACTCGAGATTCGTTGTCGGTCTCTGCTGGGAGATTTTACAGGCACTTTGTGCCGGACGCCTGTACTGAAGAGCTGTTTTCCCGGCAACAGTGCAGGATGCAATTATCGTTTGACATTTAATTGAAAATCGCCCAGCTTAATGCCTCAACAGCAGTGCAGCATTCGCGACTGTTTCTTGTTTCCTATTACCAGACGGGGTTGGCGCCTCAGGGAAGACAGGGAGTTGCAGGATGTCAGCCCCTCATTGGAGAAAATATAATTTGCCAAGGAATATTCAAAGGAAAAAAAAACAAAACAAGCTCAACTTGCGCATGAATGTTTATCAATATGAATCAATTTTGATCTTTCCTGACCTTGATGGATCAAGGGCCGTTGCACCAGAGTGGGTTCATTTTATCAACAAGTTATTAAAATGATCAAGGAAAACGAATAAGAAACACTTAGGGTCATTGAAAGATTCGGGTAGTGATGTTCGTGCGCAAAGAGTTGGTGCGCGTGCGTGCAGGATGAATAGCCAAAATGTAATGAGATCCGGTGCCGGAACAATAACCACGCCGTATATATATATATATATATATTATTATATATTATAATAATACTTATATTTATATATATATATGTGTGTTGTGTGTGTGGTGTGGTGTGTTGTGTGTGTGTAAAACATATAATAAAAATGGATATGTAAAAATTACAAATAAATATAAATATAAATAGAAGATAAAATAGATATTAAATACAATATATATATATATATATATATGATGTATATTATTATATATATATATATATATATATATATATATAGATAATATATATATTTAAATACATAATAAATATAAATATAAATAGAAAATATATATAAATACAATATAAAGATATATACAGATATAAATATAAAACAATATAAATAACTACATATATATATATGATAGATATACACACAAATATATTATATATATACATATATATATGTATATATATATTGTATATATATAGTATATACACACATATAGATAGTACATATATATAATGGATAGATAGATATATACACCACATATTATATATGAGACAGAGATAGAGTGGAGATAAGATAAGAGATATATACAACAAACATGGTAGATTAGAACTATATGATAAGTGTAGAGAAGATACTAGACACAATCTAGAGAGCGCAGAGAGAGATGGTAGATATAGAAGATAGATAAACACTGTATAGAGACAGATAGAGAGTGTTAGAATATACCTAGCATAGAGAGTGGAGATGATGAGGCAAGAGAAGATACAAACTAGAGAGAGAGAGAGAGACGTGAGGAGAGAGATAGAGACAAAGATATAGAGAACAAAGAGGATATTATATATATATATACAAAAGAGAGGTAGAGATAGACAAATTTATATATATATATACAAAATATCGATATATAATCGATGCATATAGAGATAGAGAGAAAGAGTATAGAGAGATAGTAGAGGGGCATAGATAGATATACACACAGAGAGATGGACATAGAGAGAGAAATAGAGAGAGAACAGAGATAGAGAGAGAGACCGAATAGAGACAGAGACATAAGAGAGAGAGCGACAAAGAGAGAAGATAGACAGAAGAGAGAGAGAGAAAAGAAGAGATAGAGAGACAGAAGAGAAAGAGAGACAGAATATAGATATAGAAGAGAAGAGAGATGAGAATAAGAGAGAGAGAGACATAATGAGGAGAGAAGACATAATAATACATAATAGATAGAGATATATATAGAAAGAGATATTATTTATAAGATACATATATAGATATAGAGACAAATAAGATAGAACTTATATATACAAATATATACATCTATATACACTATGAGCTATATATACAATATATATATATATATATATGGATAAGATTTGTTATATAAATATACACACAGATAGATAGATATCATATATATATAAAGAGAGTATACTATATAGCGTAATATATAGAGATAATAATTATATAAATAATATATATATATACAAATATATAATATAATATATACAAATATATTATAGAACACATATATATATTATATTACAAATATATATA